CTCGCTGCGCCGCGCCCCCCGGCCCGGGAGCAGCCCCTGCCCCTTTGCAGTGGGGCGAGAGGCTGTAGCATCTGCGCAGCCCCATGGGGACAGGGACGCAAGTGACAGTAAGTAGGGATGGCGGAGCCAGATGCGGTGCAGAGAGCGGGTCTCACACCCTTCCTCTGCGTCCCCGGCAGAGCCGCCAGTGAGGATCCTGCACCCTCCACAGCGCTCACTGGAGCTGCCAGTGCAGGCGCCGGGGCGTGTGGAGCTGCGGTGCGAGCTCTCTGTGCCGGACGCTCCCGTGTGCTGGTTCAAGGATGGGCTGGAGGTGGACGAGACTGACAACCTGCTGCTGCTGGTGGAGGGGGCCTGGCGCTGCCTCCTCATCCCCAGGAGCAGCACAGAGGATGCGGGCGAGTACATCTGTGAGAGCAAGGATGAGGCTGTCTCCTTCGATGTCAAGGTGTCAGGTCAGTGGGGACCCGGGACCAGGGAGGTGCTGATGGGACTCCAGCCCGCAGGGTCTTTACCAGCCTGGGTGAGGGAGACCAGCTCCTCTGTAGTGATGGAGCCAGTGGATGCCCACCTGGGTGCTGGTCTACCCAGCATGGGTGCTCGCCTGGGGCTGGCAGCAGAGGCATCCCCAGGACTGCGTGGTCCCTGCACTGCTTTGCATCATGGCCACGCCACCCTTGCAGAGCCACCAGTGAGGATCCTGCAGCCCCGCAGACCTCCCCCTGTCGTGACGGTGGCCCCAGGGGAAACGGTGACGCTGGGCTGTGAGCTGTCCCGTGCGGATGCGCTTGTGCACTGGGCCAAGGAGGGCGTCAGGCTGGAGGCTGGGGGCAGCCTGGTGCTGGAGGAGGAGGGTGCCCACCGCCGCCTGCTCATCCCTGCGGCCCGAGCGGAGCACTCTGGAAAATATGTCTGTGACGCTGCCGATGACACAGTGACCTTCACTGTCCAAGTTTCAGGTGAGCAAGAGGCTAGGGGAGAGCCTGGCGGGATGTGCTGGGTGCATGGACCACGGAGACCCCAGCTCTGTTGGTGTTGGGTGCTGCAGACCCACTGGTCAGGATCCTGGAGAGGGATGTCCTGCCGACCCGCCAGCACTGCCGGGCCATGGAGGACCTGGTGCTGGAGGTGCACCTGTCGCATGCCCATGGGGAGGTGAAGTGGTACAAGGATGGGGAGAAGCTGCAGGACACGGGGCGCGTGCGGCTGGAGGAGGATGGGGCACGCCGCTCACTAGTCATCCTGGGCACCACGGGCAGCGATGCGGGGGAGTATCTCTGCGACACTGGGGATGACAGCATCGTTTTCTTTGTCACTGTGGAAGGTGAGAGGGAGGTCTCGAGGGGATGGCCAGTGGGGCAAGGACCGAGGTGGGTCCCTGGCTGCTGCCAGACTGGTGTGGGGCTGGGCTGGGTGGCAACAAGCATGAGTAGGCTGGTGGGGGGGACACAGGGAGTGGGCTGTACCCACGCAGGGGCTCTGTGGAACCCCTTGTGCTGCCCAGCTGCAGCCAGAGGAGGTCTGGAGAGGATCCAACCATTGCAGCACCCGGCACAGGCTGCTGCTCCCATGGTGACAGCCCATCTCTCCAGTCCCAGAGCCACCGGTGACCATTGTGGGCAGCACAGGTGCTGTAGAACGTTGCTGCCTGGTGGCCGGGGAGGACCTGGTGCTGGCTTATGAGCTCTCCCAGCCTGACGCCACCGTGCGCTGGCTCCGGGATGGCCAGGAGGTGCAGCCAGGTGAGCGGGTGCAGGTTGAGGTCCGTGGGGTGCTGCGGCAGCTCACCATCCATGGGGTGCAGCCCGGCGACGCAGGGTGCTACATCTGCGACGTTGCCAGTGACCGTGCAGTGATGAGTGTGGAGGTGTCAGGTGAGCCGGCAGGAGCTCAGCGCCCTGGGGACCCCCAGCACGGTGGGATCATGCTGCAGCCCTGGGCGAGGGGAGGGGAAGCCTCTGTGACTCCACTGATGGGGGGGACCAGTGCAGCAGCGTGGCAAGGGAGGGCAAAAGCCCTGTCCCCAACCCTGCAGGATCTGTCGGCCAGGAAGGGGCATGTCAGGGTCGCGGCGAGACACGTCCCTCCCGCCTCCAGCAGCCAGGGGCTGGTTAAATTTAGCCTTGGCCGGCTCCCAGGCGCCGCTCCTCCTGCTTTGGCTGCCAAGGGCTGAGCTCAGCCCTGACCCTTATCAGCAGGAGATGGAGGGCTGGGCAGGATGGGAGAAGGCCTGGCACAGGCAGGTGTCCCGGTGCCCCAGCAAGGCCCTCGGGATGGGGGACACACTGAAATTAATGGCCCCAACCTGGCAGCTGAGCTGCCTGTGCAGGGAGGGATGCAGGAGCGATGGGGTCTGCTGTGGTCCCTGCCTGGGGCCCCTTCCCTGAGGGGACCCTGAGCTGCCAGGCCCTGCCAGCCTGCACATCTGCCCCACCAGGACCCCTGGCTGGTCCCACTGTGCCCCCCAGCCAAGCCCCACAGCAACCCCCAGCCACTCACAGCATCCCACAGCTGGATGCACCATGACCCCTGTCAGCCCCACAGCCCTCTGGCCCCACAGTGACTCGCTGTGGGCATCGCTGCCTCTCCGCTCACAGCAGTCCCATGCCTGCACTGCCCCACGCCACGGGGACTGATCCCTACCTTGTCCCCTGTGCCCCCCAGCCCAGCCCGTGCGCATTGTCAACAAGGAGGAGGTGCAGAGCCCACTGGAGGTGCTGGAAGGGGACAGTGTGACGCTGGTGGCCCGGCTGTCTCCGGAGACAGCGGCGGCACAGTGGCAGAAAGACGGACAGATGCTGCGCTCAGGTGGGCGGCTGCTGGTGTGCAGCGAGGGCCCCGCGCGCAGCCTCACCATCAAGCAAGTGGAGCTGGGTGACAGTGGCATCTTCCTCTGCGATGCCGGTGATGACGAGGTGAATTTCACGCTGCATGTGAAAGGTGAGCCTGGAGGTGTCCCTCTTCACCCATGCCAGGGGGCAGCAGCAGTCCCCTGCCCCGCACCGGGACGCTTTATGCCCCCATCCCACGCCGGTGCCGCCAGTGGGGACACGGCTAAGCCCGATGCTCCCCCGGCACAGAGGCACCCGTGCTGTTC